AAAGGGAGAATGAGAGACAAAGAGTGAAAGACAGAGACAGAGAAATAGAGACAAAGATGAAACAAAACTGCCAGGCAGGGCTCTTTGTGTAAAGGAAACAAAGGAACTGTCTTTTCATGGAGCCCAGAAGTGTATCTTCTAGACTTCTTCCCTATTCTTTGAAAACATTGACCATCAAAAAAAATCCTTTTTGATAGTGACATTGTATGGTGCTAATTGCAAATAATCAAAAGAAAATATTTTATATAACTGAAGGAAAAAGCATATTGATAAAATCAATTCATTCTAGAGGAAAATGATATCATTCCGGTCATCCAGAAGAAACTAGATCAACCAGAATCTTTCTATTGACATTGTGCTGGAGTGCATTCTGAGTTGACATCTTTTCCTTATGCTGCTGTCTAGAGTTGTGTAGTGGTTGCTGTAAGTCCCCAAAGGTGTCAGGCAGAGTTCATCCCATCGATGCAGAGTGCTGTCCTCTCAGGCAACCAAAGGGCATGACATACATAGGTAACATTTCCACAAAAGATGTCCAAGTCAGCACTTCCTTAAGGACATTTCATATCCCAAAACATGAGCAGCCGGCTAAGTGCCCACACACAGCTTTAAAAGTGCTCATTAAGGCAAATTATTTCCTCTTCCTTTACTAAAGAGCTTACTTCTCAATGACGTTTTAAAAAAATTTCAAGTGTAAAATGACCTTAATTAGCCAACATAGTCTAGGACACTTCCCTGGGAAAGCTATTGGAAAGTCAGACTATGCAGGTAGTGATTGTTTGGAACCATAGGAATGGTGATTTTTCTATCATTTGAATATCATAGAGGAGAATAACAAAATATGAATGATTTTCACTCTCATTTGGAAGTTATTAGTAGACTTCCCTTTGTTCCATTGAGAGAGAAGAAAATATGAAGTTACAGTGAACCCATATGGCCAACAGAAAACCCTATTTAATTGCTTTATTGCCAGAAATGTTAAACAACTTCCTGAAGAGGTAGTTCAAATGAAACATATGGCAGCTATTAACAAGGGACCCTAACAAACTCAAAAATATGCTTTCCATGGGAACTTTCTCATAAGCAACAATTGAACTTGATATGTTCATTCCATAAACATTTGATGAACGGCTACTTTGCACTTGGGTATGTACAGCCATCTTTGATGAGAAGTCTCTGGTAATCCCAAGGATAGATAACTGAACATTGTGAGACCCCAAAACAAAGACCCAACTGTACTTGTCACGCCCATCTTGGAAGTCAAGGGTGAAAAGACAGTCTTCTGAGCAACGCCTCCCAAGTGTCCAGTGCCTGAAACCATTCCATATCCACCTGGGTTATCTTTTGTTTTAAGATTTATTTATATTTTTATTAATGTGTACATGTGTTATGCAACATATGTGGGTGCCCCAGGATGCATAAAGAGGGTGTCAGGTTAAGTTATTCAAGGAGGGTGTTGGGAATCAAACTTGGGACCTCTGTAAAAGCAGCAAGTGCTCTTGATCACTGAGTCACCTCTCCAGCCCTGCACCTGGGAACTGTTAATCATCTACCTAGTCATTTCCTTCAACACCATGCCAGGGATAGAGCTGATTACTGTCACTCAACATCCACTGTGTGGAACTATCTGTTGTCTTTTCTTGTGTCTTTGTCAAGTAGATTATGATTTCCAGATTGAAGAAAATAGTTGATTTTTGTACCCATGATACTGTAAGACATGTAATTAAGAGTCAACAAAAAGCTTTAACTGAATACTAAGTGTCAGCATTTTCTAATTACTTCAATGCATTACATCCCTGCCCAATTTCACAAATTTAATCAGCTTGTGCATAGATCACTTTCTGGAGAGACAGCCTGCCTTCAAAAGCAAAGTCAGTGGAGAGCTATCCAATTGTTATTTTGATGTGGACTTGCTTGAAAAGAGAGATTATCACCATCTAGGCACATTAAACTTTGACTCTCTTTATTTTGCTGCTTTGTAATATGACTGTTGCAGTTACTTAATGGAAATGAGATTTGGAAAATTAAAACAGCCTGTGGAAGATGGTAAAATTCCAAAATAATCAGCATTAGCCACATGAAATATGAACATGGAGCATATTAAGGGTAAAATATTTTTGTCTTATAATTCAACTCCATAATTATAATTTTATTAAATATTCTACATACTCAGGATACATTTTTATAATCAAATAAAATATGGGAAATGTCTGTCTGTTGCTAGTCAACTTGTAGTGTGGGACAAGAGTTTTAATTTATCTTAAATGCCCAAAGTATAAAAAGAGGACAATTGCCTAATTTCTACTATCCAAAACAAATATATTCATATGCACACACACACACACACACACACACACACACACACACACACACCCCACATATATATATTCAGTCAATTTCTTGCCAGAGAACCTCACAGACTTGTTTCCTCCATCAACCACAATGCTCTAATGAGTAGGCATGGAGGTCAACATCCCCAGAGGTATGCCCAACTTCCATAATTGACCATAGGACCACACACAAGCTATTGTAATCTGTATGGTTTTATTTGATAGTTCTGATGATTGAGTGGATTTGTGCAGGTAAAAGTTTAAATGTATACCCTATATGTACTACACACTAAGTAAGTGTGAGATGATTTGTGCAGAGGTCTTCCTCCATGAATATCCTTTAATTCCCTGTCATCTGCATTCACAATGTTGTCAGCAATTTAAAGGCTTCTGTTGCCAGTACTCTTAGTGACCAAACAGAACTTGATGTTAAAAACCCTTCCCCTGAAGACACCATGCAATTTTGTCACAGAACATAGGATAAATTGAGCTGGTACTGATCTGGAAGCTTGCTTCCTGGTGACTGGTTTTCATGGTACCAGAGAGTATTATGCAGTATGCTGAGGGAGAGAAGTCATCAACAGTCTTACCTAGCACTTTGATAATGACCAGCCTGGCAAGATACCCCCATGAGTGCAGTAGTGGCATGAATGTGAATGTTAGGGAAATGACCAATGGTTATCTGATTGTATTTAAGGCCCGCCCCACAAGACAGCATTCATAGTTAGTACTATAAACTTGTGCAAACCTCGTTGACTAAGGAGGTCATAGAGAACCGACTGCTATTATTTTGCTAAGTGGGAAATGCTTTGAACTTCCTTCTAACTGTTTCCCTACTCTCAAGCTTCATCAAGGAAGTCTCCTTCAGTGTGTGTCTTTCTCTGTCTGTCTCTCTCCCTGTCTTTCTCTCTGTCTCTATGTCTATTTGTCTCTGTGTCTGTCTCCTCTCTGTCTCTGTCTATGTGTGTGTGTCCCTCTTTGCTTCAGTTCTCCAATTCTCTCTCTCTCTCTCTCTCTCTCTCTCTCTCTCTCTCTCTCTCTCTCTCTCTCTCTCTCTCATCACACCTTTCTTGTCTTAGCTCTGTTGTTGTTCCTGAAGACAGAAGAATCACTAGGTAGTTATAATCAGAGGTTGTCACATAGAAATCTCAATGGATGGAACTCATAGACTTGTAAAAGCCTCTCTGATCTATGTGCATACATACAGGCATACGCAAATGCTGTGGAATAAGCCTCTTGTACACTGTAAAGGTTTGTCACTCAAACTGATTTAATGAAATGCGGTCTGCCCAGGAGCCAGGTAGGAAGTATAGGCAGGGCATCAAAACTAAGGATGATGGGAAAGGAGAAGGGCAGAGTCAAGGGTCACCAGCCAGATGCAGAGGGAGCAGGAGATGAACATGCCCTGCTAATAAAAATACCCCATGTGGCAGAGTGTAAATAAGGAGGAATATGGGCTAACTTAAAATGGAAGAGTTAGCTATAGCAGGCCTGATAAAAGCCTCAGAGTGGTTATTTGGGAACTGGTAGGCAGGAGAGACATGTCCGATTACACCCCTACACTCGTCCACATGCACCACACACACACACACACACACACACACACACACACACACACACACACACACACACACAAAATTAATGCCTCTGTGTTATTTTAGAAAAGAAAAATTGAGAACTAGAAATTCAAGCTGCTTAATTCATTTTGGGTATTCACAAACAATAGCCTTAACATTTGTGCTTCATAAGCTTTTGGGACATGTCATTTTACTCATTCAGAGTTTTACATTTATAAAATAATAAAAATAATAATGAAATTGGATGGACTTTTTAAAGCCTTTTATGTCAATAAATTAATCCATAGAATCCCTGCCTAGAGTAACAGTAAGTTAGTAAGGCTATTTCTTCTTCTGGGTACCTGGAATGCCTTACAGAGGGAACTATATTCAGTTATCCCAGCAGCCCATGCCCCTATTGCACCTATGGGGGTATCTTGCCAGGCTGGTCATTCTCAAAGTTTTAGGACCCACAGCTGGGTGAGACTATTGATGACTTCTCTCCCTCAGCATACTGCATAATACTCTCTGGTACCATGCAAACCAGTCACCAGGGAGCAAGCTCCCAGATCAGTACCAGCTCAATTTATCCCATGTTCTATGACAAAATTGTATTGTGTCTGCAGGGGAAGGGTTTTTAACATCAAGTTCTGTTTGGTGATTAAGAGTACTGGCAACAGAAGCCTTTAAATTGCTGACAACATTGTGAACGCAGGTGAATGCTGTAAAAGAGGCTGATAGCTCACTCAAGTGCTTACTGGCAGTGGAGAAAGATCAAAGACTTGAAATGCCCAGACACAAAGTAATTCGCTTTGTGGATCTCCCAAAAATAGGACAAGGAAATCCATTCAAAGTCAGAGAATATATTAGCCTAATATAGTGGCAATATCATGTAAAGAAAATATAGAGGAATTCTAGCTTCAGACCCGAAAACATTACTGAATGGATGTGGCTCTCACAGCCAGGACTATTGGCTTCACAGACTGCTCCACAATGCTTATTTTTTCCACTGTCTAGATCTAGTTTTTACTACATTTATGATACATTAATCCTAGTGATATTAGTTAATATTATCTAGTAGTATTGTAATTGTGTGCATCTCTTTTCTGTTTTTCAGGCCGTTCCATGTATTGGAGAAAAGGAAATGGCTGGTGAGTTGACATTTGAGTTGTGTTTTCTCTACCTATTTTAGAGTGAAATTCCACCTTAAAATAGAAATCTAAGTATCTAAAATGCACCAATCTCATTGATTTCTGTGGGAAATTTTATTGTTGATTTAGCAAATAAACCTGCTGTTCTCAAAATGTAAGAAAAGTATGGCTTTTTAGCATTACATTGCAGTGTGTTAAAAAAAAACTTCATGTAGCCTTACATGAATTGCAGTTACATTTTTTTCCTCCCTGGGGGAATTTTTTTTTTGTTTTTTGTTTTTTACGAGACAGGGTTTCTCTGTATTGGTTTCGAGGCTGTCGGTCCAGCCCAGCCTCGAACTCACAGAGATCCGCCTGCCTCTGCCTCCCGAGTGCTGGGATTAAAGGCTTGCACCACCACCGCCCGGCCCTGGGGGAAAATTTTGATGCTGATCAATGTGTACAGGACTGGTCTTTTAAAGCTGATTGTTGGTATGTATCAAGCTTTATTTTTGTAATCTCAAGTAGTTTGTTTGGTAGTCACAAATAGATGTGCTCGATGGTCTTAAGATGGCCACTGAACGATTGAAAATAGTGAGGAGACAATGGAACTGCTGGAGAAAAGATGCTCTTGGTTTTCACACTCTGCGATGGCTGTATCTATTCCACAATATTGTGTCAAAATGGGAAAGGATTGATGAGAATCGTGAAAATGGGGAAAACTGGGCTGGAATTGAATGACTTGTGTGCTTTAAAATGTTGGTCTTTCTCAATATCGTTTTCTGTGTTCTACCTAAAGAAAACATAAAGCAAACTAGAAAGCAATACAGTTTGAATGCACAATGCCAACTTGAAGAATGTCTCTTACTTTGCAGACATGTGACGTTATTTAGATCATAGACAGACATGTGATGTTTACGTGCAACAGTAATGGCAAGTTGCATCCAACCAAAAGGAAGCATCATGATTTCAAGTGCTCTAATGAGTTTAGGGATTGTGGAATATGAGGTTTTTTGTTTTGTTTTGTTTATTTTTTTTGGAATATGAGTTTTTATGTATTCATATTTACTTATGTGTTTATATGAAGAAGGAGTGTGCATACCATGACATGAGTACAGAAGTCAGAGGACAGTTGCTGGCAGTCAGTGTTCTCTTTCTACCACATGGGTTCTGGAATCATACGTGGGCCTTGAAGATTGGTAGTGAATGCCTTCACCCAGCTGAACCATCTTGCCCTCTTCTTCAAATGTGGTTGGTGGTGTTCATCTGTTCTTATGGGCATCTTTTCTGTGACCAGACATTTTCACAAAAAGCTCTTAGCTCTTTAATTCTGTGAGCTGAATTTATCTATCACGTTTAGTTGATGCCTGACTTCTTTACTCTAATAATATTGAGAACCCCTAAGAATAGGAGGAAATGACTGTTGTAATTTTAAAAAGTGGCAATACTAGAGAGAAAGAAGCCATGCAACAGAGCTTTGGTGGAGGGCTTTGTTTTTTTGTTTTTTGGGTTTTTTTTGTTTGTTTGTTTTTTATTTAGGGAAAAGTGGATGGGAAAAGAGAGGAGGGGAGGGGCGAGACTGACCTCTGAGACCAGGAGTGGCAGAAGAGAAAAGAGAGGTGAGCAGGGGAGAAACAGGCAGAAATACAGAGAGAAAGGAACAGATAGGCAGAGGGGGAGAGAGAAATGGGAGGTGAGTAGGGCCCTTTTAAAAGGGAAAGTAGTGAATGTGCACAGGTGGTGCTCTTTGTGGCTGCAGCTAAGGGTGTATCCTGTCAGAAACCCAAGGGCTGGCAAATACAGATGCCTGAATACCAACAATGGTAAAAATGGATCCAAGTTTCTGTGACGGAAAATAAAACACTGTGGACACTCACCATGCAGATTAACTACACTTTCTAGAACCAGATGATTTCAAAGTAAGTTGTTACGCTGTACTCACTATGTCTTCATGCAGATTTTGTTTGGCTGTCTAAAATTACACAAGAACTAAATGGTTAAGTGTGTACATATAGCTATCAAAGGCAAAGCAACTTAGATCTCCATTTTGTTTGGGGTCGTGACATTCTCTGTAATTCCCTAGATTAGCTGTTATTTAAACAAAATGTATAACAGAGAAATGTTGTCATCTTATTCCAGAATAGGGGCAAATTTGTTCTTTCTCCCAAGGAAACCATTCAAGTGTAAACAACAGGCTGATGGGAAGAGAGAGAAGGGGAGGAGTGCCCCTGTCTGGGGACACAGAGTAGCAAAGAGCCAACTCCTTCCTCTTCCACTTCAATGGTTCCATTTGGACGTGGAGGAGTGCTTCGTTGTATATACATATAGGACAGGTGTGGTGATAAAATCTGTAATTAACACTGAAAGCCTGATGCAGGAGGACAACTGAGTTCAGGGAAAGCCTACACTACACAGAAAATTGCAGACCAGCCTGAGGATTGCAGAGAGACCCTGTCCCAATAAAAGAAGAAAAAGGGTCAACAAGTTGTCTCGGCCAGTAAAGGCATTACCACCAAGCCTGAAAACCTGAGTTTAGTCCCTGGGACCCACATGGTGGAAGGACAAAAATTGTGTTCTGACCTCCACATGTGCAGGAACACACACACACACATCATACATACATACATACATACATACATACATACATACAGTATAAATTAAAAACAGACAGAGGAAGTAAGTTGATAGACTCAATTCGCAGGTTCTCATAAGATCTCTCTGAAGAACTAAACCAGCTGAAATACAACATTACCTTACCCAGTCACAGGCACATGGATGCCCCATGTCACATACTTGTTGATTCACCCTGAATGTATTCCTAAAATGAACCTTACTTTATAAATTCTTGGATGAAGTGTTATGCTTCTGAGGAAATACAATTTATTGGAAATACAAATGTAAGAAAGAGCTTATGTCTTTAAAAGTTAGTGAGCTCACCTGTCAAGATAACTCCTTATACTTGAACATCCTGTGAATAGTGATAATAGAACATGTGATACAAAGAGATTATTATTTACTTCAAAAGTTGTGACAGTGTAAGCATCTAACTCTTCTCTTTCTAAAGTTATCACACCCTATGAAAAACATTGTAAATGCTTAGTATATATATGAGTGGGACTCTCTTTATTTCTCCCATCTACGGCCATCTACTTTTAAGTTCCCACTGGAGAGAAGGGTGACCATGAAGGCAGAAGGCTCACTCAGTCTTCCTGGGTAATTGAACTCTTTGACAGGATTAAAACTTCCTATCTACCCTAAGGCTGCCTATTTTCTTTTTTCCTTCCTTTTTTTTTCTTTTTGGTTTGTTTCTTGTTAAATGAAGGCAGGCTATTGTTCCTTACTAAGAAAATCTATTTTTAACTGGTGTGACCTCTCATCCAAGCCAACTGGAACCAACTCCACAGGGCCTCATGGGGCTCTAAACAAAGCCATTCTAAGTGCTGTCCACCCATCACTTTTGTAGAGTCTCCCGTTGTCTGGTGTGCACTTCTGGTAACCATCCTCTACTTCCATCCGCGATGCCGTGCTTTCCCGACACTTCTACAGCTGCTCTCATTCCTGCTGCCCTCCAACCCCGAAGGGGTTGAAACAGCATCCTGTGCACCCACTCCATAAGTATTTATTGAACAGCTGTATCTTCTAGGTATCCTGTTAGGCTATTCTGAAGAATTAATTATGATTAAAAACTAAGAACCTGCTTGTGGGAACTCAGACTCTCTTTGGAGAATAAGGCCCACAGGTTGGCATTTCCCCTCCTCTTCTCAACAGAGCATTTCTTCAGCACCTTTTTCAAATACTTCCTAGGACAAAAATCATACTCAAAGCATATTTAGCAACCTGTATCAGAATGTGTATTCTTAGGACCAAAATTAGTATTTTTATTGCCAATCAATTCACTCTTAAAATAATTAGACTCAAACCAACGGATCAGGCACAATGATGTGTTACAAGCTCAGCAACACTGGGATCTAAAGTTCAAGTCCAACCTGGAATGTATAGTTAAGGTTTATCTTTTAAAAAATTAAAAAAGTAAGAAACAAAAGAAAACCAGACTGTCTGTGTAGCCTTCAGCAAATTATGCAACTTCCTCATTCCTCTCAGACAGTGTAAGTAAAGAACCCATCATGATAATGACATAAGCAGGAAGACAGCACACAGAGAGTCCTGGAAGCCTAGCTCACTCTGATGACAATTAGTTTTGCACATACGCACCGTGCGTTGGGCCTCATGAAGGCTAGCTACGTTGTCTGTGTGTGCCTCCTCCGGACTTCCACAGAACATCTCAGCTGGCCTTGTGGAAGAGAGATCACTTTCTTCACAAATCCTCCAAGCTGATTCAGACCCACCATTGTAGTATAGGCCAAATTGATCACATTTTAGCTTCTCTCTAGAAACTATTTTCTCTTCCAGACTAAAGTTCTCTCTTATGAACAAATAGTCTTCAATATCTACAAAATCTTAGTCCTTAAGAAGCATAAATGCCTCCCATTTGCTCACACTTCCACAGCCACGCTGTATTTCCAGTCTGGTAGTCTAACTGCATTCTGTCTACACAGCAGCCTGGCTAGGCTCACAGATTACCCTGCTGTTCCTGCCTGCCCTTGTTTCACATGCCATCCTGTCAATAGCAGCTCCTCCGCGGCCCACATTCCTGCCATCCCTCTCAATGGAGACTCCACTTTCCCCTGAAATTCTTCAACACTGTCAAGAACTGGCTCCCCTGCTTTTCTCTCCCTCTAATTATATATATATATAAATATATATATATATATATATATGGGTGTCAATGTTTGGGATTTGTGCACATGGGTGCAGATGTCTTCAGAGGCCAGAGGATTGGATTCTCTGGGGTTGGAGTTACAGGCAATCTAGCTACCCTGCAGAACCCACCAAAGTTGGGTCCCTCTGCAAGAATAACCCAAGCTCTTAACCACTGACCATTATCTCCAGCCACTCGCTATGGCTTTTACAATAACCTGTAATGAAACTCTATGCAATTTAACCTGATGTGCCATTTGTTT